AGCATAACAGGCAAAGAGAGAAAGCCAAATTGATTGAATATAAATTGCCCTTTCTCAAAATTAATGTTAAGAGGAAATAAACATCACACTAGTTGGCATTAGAGAAACTATTCATAACCTCAGGTTTGAGGTGACAGAAAGCAAATCTAAAATAAAAAAAATGAAAGTGTCTATGTGATCTATAAAACATGCAGGCTCTCTGAGTGCCAGTGTGGCATCACAAGCCAATGGATGGTTAGGGAACTACTGGGTCATGACTGTTGCATTCTCTAAGTAACGTGTGGCTAATACCTTTAAGGCAATTTGCGTTCTGTTTACAAACAGAGCAGCATATAACTTGGAGTGCTCTCTTCTCCACCAGAGCTGAAAACACGTTCCCCTTCCAATGCTTTGACGATATATTGTGAGTTTTGACGGATATACAGACATAGGTTATTTTTTATGATTTTTAAGAGTTCACTTCTTTATATTATATATAAAAAATGCCATAGGAAAATGCTAAAGGTGTATTGGGCCATAAAACTTGGTTATCTTCCAGAATGGATCAAAGAGCTTGTCTTTAACAAGACTGGCTGTCATAAACATCAAAACTTTCCATGGGTGATTATCAATGTATGGACATACGGAGGTGTGGATTGTGCTGCCTGTAACAGAGCATCCACCTAAGGTTCTGGAGGGCAGTTTCTCTCTGACAGCTCTTGATTCCTCCCTGTCTTCAGTACTCTGAGACAGGCTTGATTCAGGTTGGTGCTCTCAGGCTGACTGTGTAGCAGAGGCCACCTATGATCCTGGTGAGATAGAGCTTCTGACTCTACCTGTTTGCAGGGAAGGATATTTCTTTATTTACAACTGTTTCTCAGTGGTCCCCAACCACATTTTGTACAGTTAGATCAACATTCAAATAACAGGACCTTCCCTCCCCTCCCATCCCCTCCCTCCCTCCCTCTCCCGTCCCTCCCTCCCTCCTTTCTTCCTTCCTTCCTTCCTTCCTTCCCTCCTTTCTTCCTTCCTTCCTTCCTTCCTTCCTTCCTTCCTTCCTTCCTTCCTTTCTTTCCAAATAAAGATATGTAGTTACGAGTAATCTAACATAATGCCCCATTTGAGTTTCCCCCTGGTCTGTTTGTCTTGCAACTCTTTGATATTTTCAATGGTTGTATTTTATGTTCAGGCCACAGGAGAGTTCCACACACTAAGTGACGAGATTCATGAAAAAATTCAATTGAACTTTTCTGTTTACTTGGTATTAACAGATTATTTGTCATTACATGTATAATTAATTTCAACCTTAGACTACTTACTGATACTACATTATGGTCTAAACTGCCTATTCAGAATAGCAAGTAAATTTTTTTGATGGTAAATTGTCTAAAAGGAATGATGTGACTTGGAGACTTAAAGACTGGGGTATCTGGATTTTTTTGTATTTTATCATTCCACATATAAAACATATCTTTCAAAGAAAACAGTTGGAATTATTATCCCTTATTTTCACAGGAAATGTGAATGAAAATGAAGAGAGTCCAATATCTCAAACTCTCAATTCAATTTGTAAACAATGCTTAGAAAATTCAAGACATCATGATTATCAATAGAAACCAAGAATTAAGCAATTATACAACCAGATCATTTTGAACAGGAAACTTTAACAATGAAAGAACTTTTTATCATAGGGGTATTATTGATCTAATTGAGCAGGATGGCTATGTGGCTGTTATTTTTTTCTCCCATCTAATGGGCAGATTGGAACCTGGATAATTGATCACAATCATATAGGCATTCTGTAGACGTGTAGCTCTTATTTGTTCTAAAGATCACACCAATTTCAACAATCCACTTGGTTATCTCTCAGAAATGTTCTGCAGAGGGAGGGTCATGAGAAGACAGAAAGTGCTATAGTGGTTCTGATAAACTGTAAGCACACCAGGGACCAACTCCTTTCATGTTGAAACATTCTCTCTAGAATTTCTTTCATTCATACATTCTGCACATATTTATTGAAGCTAAGAATATATCAGTGAGTACAATTGTCTCAAGTGTCCTAGCAAATCTGTATTCATGCATGGCAGATAAAAACACATATAATGAGTATAACAGGTAAAGTATATGGCATGTTTATAAGGTATGCATGCCTGATAAGTACCAAATGTAGAACAGAATGTGGGATTTTAGGGTGCTAGGTCAGTTTAGAAGTAGCATAATAAAGTTTCATCACTTAGACTTGAATGAAAATCTTGTATACACATTGCATTAGGCAAGTTACCTTTGAGATTCTTTAAAATATGAAGACTAACTGATTGTTTTAAATTTCATAATAGAAATAATAGAAATTTATGTAATCCTACACTATATATTGAAGTCTGATCTTATTAAAAGACAAAGGTTTATATGGACTGAACAGAAACCATTATATAAGATCTAATTGTAGGGATGTAATTGTAGCATTTCTCAGCCCAGAGTCTATCATTATAAAAAAGCTTAATCTGTGGTAATAAAACCATACCCCAATTTTAAGAAATTAAAAAGGGTGGTCACATGGGAAATAGTCTAAAATAACATACAATTAAACTGGGGAAAGTTGAATTGCATAACCCTGTAATTACTGATAACATAAGTCACAGATGATGGACAGCAGTGATTAAACAGAATTGCCCCAAGGCAAGCGAGAATTGAGTAAAAGACTAATATTATTGCACTTCATACACATAGGGGTCAACTTTATGCTTAAATTGAAGCAGGAAGATTGTTTTTCTCCAAGGTATATAAAGCTTTCCATCTGTCATCCATCTAGGATGTTGACTTGACTATGAGGAGGTATAGAGTAGTGCAGAGCATGACTAGAACAGGGTGAGCAACTTTGGCTTTCCACACACTATTGGAACTGACAGAACATGCCACAGACAAGTAACTGTAAAATAGAAATCTGTCAACAGAAATGAAATTTCCTTAGAACCAGTGTTAGTAAATGTTCAGATACTTCATTGATGCCCTATTATAAATGAAAAGATATTAAAGAAGATGAGGATGTTGAGAGGGACACCATCACCATTAAAGATGACAGGGATGCTGCAGAACTCAGATGGAATGGTTTTCTTGGTGAAGGGTTTTTCTTAGCTTCTTTCACATTCCTCGTGGTATTCTTTTGCTGTCTGTACCTTTCTTGGAGTGGAGAGCTGCGCTCTCCATGCCTCGACCTGATCACACTAAGGTAAGAAGTTTGCCTTTGGCTAATTTCAATGACATTTCTGTTTTTAGTTTTTTAATTATGTGGTTTAGTTACATTGATTAGCTAGCAAATTGTAATAGTCATATAATTTGCTAAAAATTGTTTCCTAGGCACTGGAAATGTATGTAGCTCTGATGAAATACCTATCTAATATGCCCGACATCTTGTTTTTTTTTTTTTTATCTCCAACACCTCAAAAAAATAAAGTTTTCCCCTTAAAACCCCAAAATATGATTATTAATGTTCTCATGCATCTAATTAGTAGATCAGAATAGAAGCAGAACTGTGTGAAAGCCATGCTGGAAACTCAAGGTAATGTTCAAACAAATTATTATCTCAGAAATCAGTACACTGAAGAAATTAAATTTGAGCAAATACTTATACCCTGCACCTCAAAAGAAATTCAATTGAAAAGATTTTCAGTTTCACATTGAATCACTATTTAAAATTTTATATATCATCATCTCAAAATAGGAAATGTACCTATACTTTTGGAATCTAATTGATAGCATTTTTGTTATTTGATGCAAAGAGTAAATTTGTGTTACTTAAATAGGTATTTTCAGAGTCTGAAAACCCCATTTGCTTACAGCTATTGCTCAAATACAAAGAGATCTCCAGTTTATCAGTGCACACTTACTAACCTGAAAATACTTATATCTACAGCTTCAGCTTTGAGGACTCTTCAGGGTTTAAAAAGCAGGACATATGAGACAAAGTGAAAATAAGGGGCAAGATTTTTAGATGCTCCTTTGTTGGGAAAGACTCAAGGGACTCCAAGAAATAAGTCAGCATGAGACTTTGAAGGTAAACCAAGAAATAAGTCAGCATGAGACTTTGAAGGTTTATAAATATGAAACGGTCCTATTAGCTTGCATTGCCTTCTAGACCTTATAGTAAAACTGGACCGGCCTTGTTTCAATCACAGAAGTTGTTGCCCCGAAGTTGGAGGGTAACTGGTGCGCATTTGCTCCTAGCAATCTATTTCATCTTTTCCTGGTCATTTCTATAAGAAGGTAGGACACCACTGCCTAACTTTTGCCAATACATTCTGTCTCTGACTCAGGCTAATACATTGTAAAATGACTTCATTCCATTAAAAAGCAGATTCATTAAGGTTAAAGAATAGTTGTGATACGTTGCTACTGCCACATTCATATCAAAACTTAAAGATTCCTTGTATTCACTCGCTCCAAGTAGCCACTATTCATAAATTTTCAGCAACTTATTTATTGTCCGTGCAGTTTACTTTAAAAAAAAAAAATAGAAGTGGGCATAGTTTTCTAAAAGTATTTTTACCCCCTAGTCTCAACTCAGTGGACGATGAACAGATCTCTGAGAGTTTTGCCTTTCCTCTCTGTTACTTGAATGATATTCTGGGCATATTGCATAGTTCGCCAACTTGGTTGTTAAAACTCGTTTAAAGCTTCAATCTCTTTCTGTTCGGATCTTTTCTCCTTTCTGTTCACATCCCAGTTAGGGACTGCTGGGTCTGTTGAACAAACAGACAATACATTCCAAGGGAATTTTCCATGACTATTCTTGCCTTCCCATTTATGAATGTGAGCTCCATAATGCTGCTTCTAACCAATCTGGGACTCATCTACCAACTCTGAGTCACTAGACTGTGCGGCTTTATGTCTTGTTAAACACGCAAGGCGGACCGTGGGGTGCCCAGCCTCCCCTTCAGAGCACACTGCTGCAAGCTTTTCCTTTTCTCTCTACGACGCCCCCAGTACCAAAGAGCAATCTGAGCACTGCAGTAATGTTGGGTTACCATGACTGTTGCATCGCGATGTTTCCACGAGTCTGCCATTTTGATCGTAGCACGCCATCGCTTGGTAACGGTATCCTTGGCCACATTCCTTGTTGTCTCCTGGTACCTTCACCCCCAACAGCACTTCAGCCTTGCCTTCCGGTAAAATACAGTCTGACCAGTTTCCCACAGGCTGCGCATTGTATTTGTCACAAGGACAGTACTGCGTCTCAATCAGAGGGTACAAATGGGAGTTTTTACATTTCTCCTTCTTTTTGCTTTTTCCTGTAGATGGAAAATAGCATTATTAATTTCTAGCATCCTTAGATTTTTTCCCACATTCTTATACTTCCGTTTTCTGCTTTTGATTCTATTCAATAGTAGCCTATAAATAAATGATATTTTTTCAATTCTAAGTGCTTTCTAAATAAATTTTCGCTGATATTCAGTGCTTTGGGCTTTGCACAGTGGAACTTTCTTACTTTTTCATTTAAAAATAGTCCACTTTACATAAAGGATTGTAGTTGATTTTTACACACTTTGAAACGACTGAAATTCTCATGTTTGTACTGACTCAGGAGTTTGTGGCAATTGCACAAACCTCTTCTTTTTAATATATGCAAAAATACAAGAGGCAGAGGGATAGCTCACTGGGTGCACTCTCTTCGCTGACTGCAGATAGGTGGCAGAGTTACAAGGGGTTATAATCTGGAAATGGAGATTTAAGGCTTATTTCTTGGCCTATTATTTTGTATCTTTCAAAATTTCTGAACAGTACTCATATTTTGACATACTTGATGACTAATACAGGCTCAAAAAGAAGATTTGACTGGGTATCAGAATAAAACGTTTTAAATGTTTGAATAAAAAACTCCTCTTAAAAATTCTTATATATGTTATATGTGTACTTTAAAATTATGTATTTAATTATGCTAGTCATATATTAAATATCCATGATATATAATTCTGTCACATATATTAGGTATATTATCAGATTTAATAACATTTATTTCTAATTTTCACACAGTGATATATATATATATATATATATATATCATATATGTATATGGTTTATATATGTAGCTTCCCAGAGTCTTCAGTCTTCATTTTACTTTGGTTCATCTCATAATTTGACAACTCTTAACAGTCAACATTTTTGGTTTCTTTTTTCCCCCTGACTATGTTCAAATACATCCAGCTTCAGTGTAGTGCCATGCCTTCTAAACTTAGCTACGTCATTGCTTTTTTCACTTTTTTAAAGCCATTGAGCCTGTATTTAATGCAACTTTCAGACATAGAATTAACGCTGCATTTCTCATTGTAGGAGATAAGCTACAGGCTGAGGCTGTGGTCCTGAGAACAGGCTGAGATAGTTAAGGGGTAGTTGCTACTCCCTGCACCAGGCACTTCAAACTTTCTGGACAACGCACTAAAGGTGCATGTTTAAACAACAACAATGTTTCATAGTTTGTTGCATAGGGAATTAGGCTGCCTTTTCTTTCTTCTAAAATGATATGCTTCTATCATTGTTACTTTGCATTAAAAACACACCTCAGTATACTGAAATATTCATTATAACTACAACAGCAATAAGGATTTTCAAGCATACTGCCAGAATGCTCTTAGTTTGAGTTTTATTGTATTTTTCTGTCATGCTAAGAGTTGCCTTTAGCATCCCAATTATTCTTACCAACAATCGCACGCTTTCTGGTTCTAACTGCACCACAGTCTCCATTGCACGAAGAAAACTTGGACCAGCTGGTAAATTGACAGTCATCTTGGCAGGGGATCTGGCAAGCCTGGGTCAGGGCTGGCACAGGGCCTGCATACTGGAGGCACTCCTGGATGCTAGCCTGCCCTCCATCTTGCTTTCGACAAGTAATGGCTAAAAGAAAAACATGTGTCTAATTACTCTATAATTTAAAAATTAAAAGCATTTTCACAGAGTGAGGAATCCTCTTCTAATTCCCAGTTTACAGTAGAAATGTAGTTAGAGTATTTGCAAGAATCACTGTAGACGTAAAAGTGTGTGTGTGTGTGTGTGTGTGTGTGTGTGTGTGTGTGTGTGTACTGTGAGTGCACATTTGGAAGTCAGAGTTTGACACTTATTGCCTTCTTCTATCTCTTTCTGCTTTCTGCTTTGTTTTGAGGCAGGGTTTCTCACAGAACCTAGAGGTCACCCATTGTTGAGACTGGCTGGCCTATAAACTCTGAGCATCCTCTGGCATTTATCTCCTAGTGCTGGATTATAGTGATGCTCTACTGCATCCTGCTTTTATTGGGTGCTGGGGAATCACACTAAGATCCTCACACTTGTACAATATGCACTTTACTCACTGAGGCATCCCCCAACCCTTGTATATTCTTTAAAGAACACATAGCCTTCATTGGATATTGTGGCACAGGAAAACATACATAAAACACACCACACACACACACACACACACACACACACACACACACACACACACAGTGACATAAATTCTATGAACGATTTAAAATCATTTGACATGTGGGTTAGACTTAGAAATTAATTTTAGCAGATAAATCATGGGTGGATTCTAGTTTGTGTTGAAGAACATGGACTATTTGCCACAGTGCTAGAAGCAAATCAGATGTCTCCAGTGCTGTTTTAGGACATCAAGCAATCTAAAATTTTTATGTACAAAGGTCTCAGTAAATGCCCATTTGTTAGTAAATTGTGGTAGGACAGCATGCTTGTGCATCTTGTCTTACAGTCACCTCAGCATAGAAAGCACCATTTTCTTCCATATTGAGAGTGTACTGGGGTGTCTTTTGAGTGGCTAATAAGAGGCAGTATCAAAGCCCTCCATCACTTCTGATCTCAAGTTCTTCACATAGCAGAAATATTAACTCTGAATTTAAAAGTAAATTAGGAAACTTTTAACAAGCTTAATGTAGCATATCACTGGTAGAATTCTCATGATTATATATGGACTTTAATGATGATCAAACAATTTTAATTCATATAATGATTCCTTCCAAGATATTGTTCCAGTGATTTATTTAAAGCAAGAAACAGTTTTATTAGATACAAAATATAGATAGATAACATTGCTTTCTATGTAACAGGTCTGAAAGGAAAAGGTCACATGATATTTACAGTCTCCCTTCTCTTCCTCTCTATTTACTGTATAGATTGTAAAACCCATTCATTCATTTATCAAGGAAGCCAAAGAAACTTTTAAACTTTGGTCCCGAATTGAAATCTTCATTAAATTCCCCGAGATGGCCTCATTCACAATGATTTATATGGCATTTTTGGGTATGTGGTGGGGGCTGAAAATGCCCCTGCTCTCTAGCTTTCTCGAAATCCCATCATCATTAAATTAAAGGAAAAGGATGACATGTTGACCTGAGTTTTAGCTGGGACACAGGTGTCCCCTGATTAGGTCATATCCTCTGCACCTGTGAGCTGGGACCTAACTGAACAGTGCAGGCTGTGTAATGGGTGTGCAAAGGGAAGGGGCTGACAGCTGGAGACAAGATGTACACAATGTGGAACAAGTCCATGCAAGATCATTTTGCACTGCAAGAACAGTTCCAGGACTTCTATGTTTTGAATGGAGTCTCCTTCATACACCCTGGTGTTGTAGAGTTGCTTTGTATAAAAAGAACAGAAGTCCTTGAATTGGGAAGTCATAATGCTTGCAACGGCGGGCATTGTGAAAACCAGGTGATGACAAATTGTGTCTCTCACCACTTTGGGGGAGGCTGGCATGCTCCTGTGTTTATCATAGAAGTCTAAGGTAGTGGTTGTGTCAGGTTGCAAATTGTTAGCTTTGGAAATATAGCTTTCTTACTCAACTCAAATGTTTCTTTTTTTAAAAAAATTATTTATTAAATTTAATTTTACATATCAGCCACGGATTCCCTTGTTCTCCCCCCTCCCACCCCCTGCCTTCCCCCAGCCCATTCACCATTCCCATCTCCTCCAGGGCAAAGACTCCCCTGAGGATTGTGTTCAACCTGGTAGATTCAGCCCAGGCAGGCCCAGTCCCCTCCTCCCAGGCTGAGCCAAGTGTCCCTGTATAAGCCCCAGGTTCCAAACTGCCAGTTCATGTACTGAGGACAGGACCTGGTCTCGCTGTCTGGATGCTTCCCAAGCAGATCAAGCTAATCAAATAGGAGACCATGGTAAATGAAGACCACATGAGAAAAGGAAGAAACAAAGTGCTAGAGAGGCCCACAGAAATCCACAAAGATACCCCTACAATAGACTGCTGGCAATGGTCGAGAGACAGCCGGAACTGACCTACTCTGGTGATGGGATGGCCAAACACCCTAATAGTCATGCCAGAAACCCCATCCAAGGACTGAGGAATCTGGATGCAGAGATCCACTGCTAGGCCCCGGGTGGAGCTCCGGGAGTCCAATTAGCGAGAAAGAGAAGGGTTTATATGAGCAAGAATTGTTGAAACCAAGGTTGGATAAAGCACAGGGACAAATAGCCAAATGAATGGAAACACATGAACTATGAACCAATGGCTGAGGGGTCCCCAACTGGATCAGGCCCTCTGAATAGATCTCTGAAGTATTCGAAGGCCACCTGGCCAAACATCCTAATTGTCATGCTAGAAACCCCATCCAATGATTGAGGGAACCAGATGCAGAGATCCATGGTCAGGCCCCAGGTGGAGCTTCAGGAGTCTAATTGGTGAGAAAGAGGAAGGTTTGTATGAGCGAGAATTGTTGAGCATTGTTGGAAAAAGCACAGGGACAAATATACAAATGAAAGGAAACACATGAACTATGAACCAATAGCTGAGGAGCCCCCAACTGGATCAGGCCCTCTGGATAAATAAGACAACTCAAATGTTTCTATTTCATTGGCTAAGGACAACATCCTGAGTTTTCAATTCTCTTGCAGCCCTGATGATATGAATTTGCTAGCTGGATATAAAGCTACTGCTCTAGGAGGTAATGTAGCATAGTCTGTAGCAGGAGCACCTGGAATGCTAGTCAACGCCTCGATTCTTGGGTTCATCTAAGAGGCAGTTACTGAGGTCAAGAAATAAGCACTTTTCAAAGCTGCTGGGTATTCAAGGCACAAGCGTTCTGACTGAGACTTGTGGGTAAGATAGAAGCTTCTTTGGTAACTCAGACACCTTTGCACTATGTCAGGTTTTGGAAAACACTGGTATGTGGGTCTGGGGCTCTAAATGAGTTATTGTTCTCTTGAGAAAGTATTATGGGGACTTGTATAGGGATGGATCAAAGTGAGCATTCATTTATTTTGAAGGTAAGCTATTTGTAACACAGTAGAGGTGGATGTTTCTGATGGTATTTCACACCTCTCTTTATTACACCATTTGCAAATAGGACCAACCATTTATACACGGTAAACTCAGGAAGTTCCTATAGTTTATTGACAAAGTTGCACCAAAGATACTCAAAAGAAAGACTTGAGAAATGAAAAATATTTGACATTTTACTAGTTAGGATATGCAGAACCTCCAATAATGATTAATTTGGAATAGAAGATGTATGACTGTATTAGAATTCTTAGCTCTGAAGATGGCTGTAGTATTTTTAACTAAAATTAAGGATTATAAAAGTAAAGTTGGGGGTCTTTGAAATGAAATGAAATTTGCCTACTTATCTAACATGCCTCTCTGAAATGGAGACTCAAATATAAAGTTAATAAAATTGGCTTGAGCTCTCGATGAGGGTGTCAGTCTCTCTCTCTCTCAAATCTTATTTCAGAATTACTCCATGTATCATCATATTGTGATGTGAGAAAGAAAATAACTCCACTACCAATATAATTATATAAATAAATGAACAGGGTTGGTATACTATTCACAAAAATCAAAAGGTCTTTCCCCATACTCAGGCATGGCATAAAATCTTGTTAGTGCTTCAGTTAGTTGAAATGGAAAACAAATGTGTAAAATTGCCATATCTGTTCTCAGAAATCCGCTCAGCACTCCACTTCCCTTATCTGAGATTTTCAACAGTGTACTTTTGGAATGAATCACACAGTGTTATTCAAACAAGAGCAAGAACACCGTTTGTACAATATATTGAAAATTTATCATACATCTTAGCCTGTTTGTATTCTAACTTAGAGGAAACACAACAATTCAAACATAGAAATGCAATCTAAAAAGACTTCCTGCCACTGGGTGAGGAAAATATAAATGTTTGGAAAGGGAACCATCTGGTCTCTCAACTTTGTGAACCTTAAAAATCATTTGTGATTTTTAATTGTAGCATAAATGGATCATATCAACTTGGTGGTTTCCTGGCATTTCAGAAAGCTACACATACCCAAGCAATTGTGATTGTATTTGCATCTGTCTTCATATATGATGATTATGCAAATTCTCCTTTGTGTTGAGGTCTTATTGGCAAAATGGGTCAAAATAATGCTATCCTATGAAGAGTGGTTCACAAAAGCTTCTTGGTGAGATTAGCTAGTAGCAAAATAGTTATTTTAAAGGGAAATAACACAGATAACAGTATGTTGACTATACACATTCATTTCATTTATGAAATATAAAGATATAGATATCACAGCAAGTTTTATGTGTTATAGAATTAAATGACTCTGGCTAAAAGCATCAGAGGCAGAAGTTTGAATAACTATGGACTAAAGATGAATCACCTTAGGCAAGCATAGCCCATCAAGATTCAGGAAATAGTATAAAAGTAAGTAAGAAGTTCAATTCTTCAGCAAATAAATGCTATAAGGAAAAAAAAACTAATGTGTGATTAGATCAAAGTAATTCATTAAGATACACTAATAAAAGAAAATTTGTAGACCTTAGGGGGACTAATTTGAAAAAAGTGTGTAAACATTTTATGAGTGTTAATGATATGTGTGTACATGTACATGTCTTTCTCTGTGTGTTCCTGTGA